AACATTATAAGTAAAAACCAAATAAAGATTATTAAAAAAAAGTAGAAGACTGAAAACCAAGTAAATATATTTGGGAAAATTACCTTTACATTAAATAATTATAAATTTCCATACTTTCAACATTGAAACCCTCTAACCTTCTGTGTATGAACTACCATTCTCACCCACCAGCTCCAACTGCCTACCTTCATTACACCTCCACTGCCATCTCAAGTAAGATAAATAAGAGCTCCATTGGCAACAGTGAACCAAATTCCAACTCCAAATATGATGCCAAATCTCTCAACCATACCTACCACCTTCAGCACCCATGGTAGGAGGGAACCAAATCGATTAGCAGCCAATCAGGAGTAGAAGAGAAAGAGGGTAGGCACACAGTAGAAAGAGATAGGAGAGAATGAGATAGTGGGAAAATAGGGCAGCGAGCCCAGCAGAGTGGAGGGAAGTTTAGGAAAAAAAGCATAAAGATAAAGAAGAAAGAGAGTGAGGAGAATGAAATTCAGTGCAACTCGCCAACAGCTGCACTGCATGGCAAAGCATTCAAACATAAGGGCAGTGGTAGTTTCATACACATGGGAGGAAACTAAAGAGATACATTTTTAAGTTATATTTCAGTTACTGTATCCACTTAAGAACCCAAACAGAATTTATCTTCATTATTTTTGTTCAACCTATTTGGCAATGGCACAGAGTAGTATCTAATCATATTGTACAGTGCACTTCAAGAAATCCAACAATGCATTAAAAACTTCCTCATGTGCAAGCAAGAAAATATACTTAACCTGAATAGCAAACATTTCACGGAATCAACATAAAATTGTAATGTTAATAAAAGGTTATCCCACAAGCATGTTAAAAATTAAAAATTCATGTTTTAATAAATAAAGAAAATGAACTCTTAAAGCTATTAAGAAATAATAGACTATAGTTTATTTGATAAACAACGGGTGATTAAATTGACATGAAGATTTGGGCATGAACAAAACTTACACATAAATAAAACCCATATTAACCTGGACCAACAAAAACATCAACCACATTTCAAATGAGGAAGGAAGGTTCACTCCGACCATATAGTGAATAAAATGGATGAACATTTTCAAACTAGAAATAGCAAAAATAAAATTGTACAAATTATATAGATTTAAATAACAAATTTAACATTTTTTTTAAAAGACATGCACAAATTGGCTACAACATTTTTAAACTTGAGCACAAGCCCATGGATTTGTCAACATAACTAAATTAGGCCAATCAATGACCTTCAATTTTGCAATTAATTGACATTATTCTTGAAGTAGGCCCAACCAGACTAGGGCCTTTTAAGCTAGATCCATTTAGGCTCTAAAATCCTAACAGACTTACGATAAAATATCAGCTAGAAGCTATCTTAACATCATTTTCCTTTTTTTTTTTTTTTGGAAAAATAAGGGAACCAGAGAATAAAACATGCTCGGTAGTTGTTTTTACATTTTGTTTCTGAATATAATAATTGTTTTAAACAATCACAATAACTCACAACTAATTTAATTTTTTTAACCATTTTTTCTCAAGCTCTTTAATCTAACATCAAGCATCATTTCTCACCCTTGCAATCATCATCAATCCCTGCCCTAGTGTTTGTTACACCACCTCAAATCAATTGAGGTCCGAGAGATCTTCTCCACAAAAGGAACTCAAAGAGACTTCTCACTCTCTACACGTGACCTTCAACTGCTCATCAAACATCCCTAAAATTTGCACCTCAATTTAGTCTCCCTACACATTTGCTCACTCTATGCTCCCACATCTATCACGGCTTCCTTATTCAACATTCAACATCTCTTTCACCAAACTCCGTCACATGTCGCTCTCCGCATTCGTCCATAACTAATCTTGCCCCTGCTCTGGCAATCTCTCCCACAATGAAGCCCTCAATCTCATGGATTTGTCAGCATAACAAAATTAGCCCAATCAACGACCTTTAATTTTGCAATTAAATGACATTATTCTTTAATTAGGCCCAACCAAAATAGGGCTTTTTAAGCTACCTCCATTTAGGCTCTAAAAACCCTAAGAAACTTGGGATAAAAATATCAGCTAGAAGCTATCTTAACATCATTTTCCTTTTTTTTTCTTTTTAGAAAAATAAGGGAACGATAGAATAAAACATGTTTGGAAGTTGTTTTTACATTCTGATTCTAAATGTAATATTTGTTTTAAACAATTACAATAACTCACAACTACTTTGATATTTTTAACCATTTTTTCTCAAGCTCTTTAATCTAAAATCTAGCATCATTTCTCACCCTTGCATCCAACATCAATCCTTGCCCTCGAGTATGTTAAACAACCTCAAATCAATTGAGGTCCGAGAGATCTTCTCCACAAAAGGAACTCAAAGAGACTTCTCACTCTCAGCACATGAAATTCGCCTGCTCATCGAACATCCCTAAAATTTGAACCTCAATTTAGTCTCCCTACACATTCGCTCACTCTATGCTCCCACATCTATCACAGCTTCCTCTCATTCAACATCTCTTTCATCAAACTCTGTCGCATGTCCCTCTCCGCCTTTGTCCACAACTAATATTGCCCCTGCTCTTGCAATCTCTCCCACAATGAAACCCTCAATCTCCTTTTGGCCATTGGCACTCGATAACCACTTTCCATGAGCTTTCTCTCAACAAATCCTTGACTCGCTCTTCGTGTAATGACTCCTCGATGGATTAAATCTTACTTCTAAACAAAATAAATAATAAATGACAAATAACAACAATTACTTATGGCATCAAATATAATTTTAGTACATATAACAAACGGCCCCTAAGATTTACTCTATCAAAATATTGGGCAAAAGAGGAGGAGAATCTAATACTTAGCAGAAATGAGTAAATTTCCGAGGACTGACCTTCCTATCAAAATGGTCCAATAATATCTAAGATTAAGCATTTATTAGCCTAAACAAACTGATTCAATCCCGTATGAGGTCAGGATTTGGACAAGGAAAGTTCATATCGTCAATCCAAACATTTTAGTAATAAAAAAAATACAACCTATATTAAATCCCTGAAATAATGAAGAAAATAAAAGAAAAATATTTTATTAAGTTTTGTGTTTAAGCAAGGATTTTGAAGTACCCAATTTTAGCCAGCTAGCCTGCATGCTGCTAACCTCAAATTATCAGTTCAAGTGAAGCTTATATGGGTTCTAAACAAAGCTAGATTTGGAGTATTGGCACAAACGGGCTAGGTCTACCAAGAAATTTCCCTAATAGGGAAGCCTAGCCTAGAGAACCTGAAAATGAAGTCAGCTTATCTAGCAAGTACTAGGCTCATCTTGTTCTGAATATTACCCTATGGAAAGCCATGATGGGATTGTTCCTCCTTGTTCAAACCAACTCAAGGAAAACATTAGATTGGCTTAACATAGATAATTTTTTTGCCCTAAAACCACTATTTGAAAAGGTCACAATTTTTAAAAAGGTAATTGATACCATTCTAGGGCACATACAAGGTGTTCTGGGAGCAAGTTTTTTGGGGAGGTAGCTATGGAATAGGAAGGAAGTGAGAATAAAGGTTGTCGGCGGGTTGGTAAGGATATAGGAAGCAAAAGCTGAAGTTGAACAGAAGTTGGAGCTAGTGTGACAGCAATCCGGATTGAAAATAGCAGTCCAAAGGCAAATCGGGTGCGAGCAACTAGACAGGGAACGGGAAGTGATAAAATGGTAATTTTTTGCTGTGACCAACAGCTAGGAGCGCGTCCAACTGTTGTCCAGCTGAAAATGGCAGGTAGAACGGCAAATAGTGAGATACAAACCGTGAGGGGGTTCAACCACATGTCTCTAAGCAAGACAAAAATGCACCACTTGCAAAGGAATATACGGCACTCCAAAGAGCGGAAATCATAGATTATAATTTTCATAATACTAACATAAAGCACAAGTCCTCTCAAAACAGAATTAAAAGAAAGGACTATGAAATAAGGCTTGAAAAAAAAAGGACCATGTTAAATTTGATAAAGGGATGCTAATTGCTTGGTTCACTACTTTCACGTTCGCAACATGGATGGTTCCGCAACTGGCGGAATCCGACAATCATGAGGTCGCAGATCACGATTCCTGTCAAGCTCAACCTACTGATTGATTTGGTAACTAAGAAGCTTAACTTTGGAAATATATATTCATGAAATCAATAAAACCTCCATCTTAAATTTGGTCTGAACTACAAATATAGAAATCAAACAGTATGGATTGTGAATCCATATTTCAAATCTTCATCAACTACGTAAGAAGCATCCACTAAAAACAGTTACATACATACAGAACATAATAATTAAAAGCGAAATTTACGTATATACAAACAAATTCTTATGTTTTACATATCCAACACCTCAATCGTTATAATTAATTTTACAACAAAATAACAGCCTAATATAAAAACCAAATCAACACAAATACATGAAAAGAAATATTTCACTTTAGATAAGTTAATGTTAGTGTTATTTTCTATGTGATTTAAAGTTCAGTGGGTTATATAAGTAAATGTAAATGTTTTTAAGTGTTAGATATGTATATACATAATAATTCAGTGGTATATATGTAAGTCCATATGAAACCTGAACACATTCAACTAATTAAAACCAGATGAGATATTTCATTTGAATACCATAGGATAGGTTTGATACACATTCCAGAAATTTTACACATGTGGCCTTCACGGCCATCGATCCCTAATCTAATTCTAGCTCCATTGTGCGTATATACATCACGATGGCACAGAATCAAAAAAAGGAAAACATCAGTTTACACCAAATGGCGGGCATATCCTTCACAAAAAGTTATTTCTACCAATGAATCTTGCTAATGTATGATTTCATGGGTATAGCACCCTGATATTTAGCATTAATGAATCAAATAAACGATCTGGATAGAAACAAAGACTGAGAAAAAAATTAACAATTGCATTTAATGTGGCAACCACAGTAGAAGAAAATGAGGCCCCAAACCAGAAGACACGTACGATGAGCTAAGCAGTTCCGGCGACGCCTCTATATGTCATTACCGTAACCTCGCCGGACGCAACTCCTAGCAGAGGAGAGAGTGCGCCGGAAAGACAAAAATGGTTTGAAAGCATCGAGGCCGTGCTTAAACCTAGCACAATAGTTTTTAAAACTATACATATAACCATTAATATTTAGAAAATCAAATCAATTTAGCCGGTTAACTTTTTTCAAATGTGAATTACGTTCCGTTTAGGGCCGCATTTTTCGAGCGTCACTGCCCTAAATTGTTAATTTTTTTTTTCTCGTGCTTTCCCTTAACGGTAGCGGCCGCTTGCCTCTAAATTAGGTTGAACGCGGGCCACGGGGTCAGCCCTGTGTTCTCGAGTGTTAACACCTCCTTTGCCCCGCCCCGCTCGAAAGCTGCCCTAACATCGTTCATGAAACCGCGCGAATCGACCTCGAAGCCCCTACACCGCTACTGCCTTGCTTGTCGCAATGCTTGCCCCCCCTCATGTTCTACCGTCGCTCGCTAAGGTGTGGATAGGGCTATAAAAAAAGCTCGTTGTTCGCGAACAGTTCGTGTTCGGTTCGTCAATGAGTTCGTGTTCGATTCGTTCGATAAGTAAACGAGACAAACGCGAACAAATTTTTTTCGTTCGCTTAGTTAAACGAACCAAACACGAACAGTGATGCGTTCGTTCGTGTTCGAATCGTTATTGTTTGAAATATAAAATAATATAAAATAATATAAAATAATTATATATAAAAAATTTATTATATTTTAAACATTAAATTTTGTAAATTATACTATATAATAAAATAATAATAATAATATATTAATATACTATAGTAGTAATATACTAATATAGATATTGAATATTTATATAATATAAGTTATATAATTAATATATAATATTATTTTTATATATTAATATTAGGGATGAAATTTTAAACGAACCGAACACGAACACAAGCTTTGTTCGTTCGTGTTCGGTTCGTTTACACCCCTAGGTGTGGAGTCCTGATCAAAGCCGCTCCTCCTAATCGGTATTTCTCTTCCCAATTTTTTCTTCATATTTAATTATTGTACTTCATGTCTTACGTATCCAGGGGAGTCGTTCCTATTGTTTTTCATTGTTTCCATCTTCATTGCCCCGCTTGAATCTTGCGTTCTCAGGTTCTTCCATCAGTAAAGAGCAGAGCAACATGGGTAGCGTCCATCTGCCTTCAGCATTGAGGTTTGGAAAGGGGTTTTTGCAAGTGCAAGTGCAAATTGTGAAGAGTTTTGTTTTCATTTTTAAATATGCCTGGAATCACAATAGATTCTTCCAATGGTGCAAAGCGTGAAAAATAAACCCAAATTGAGTGGTTGCTTGTTCAAATTTTTATTTGCATTTTTATGTTTTCTTATGAACTCCTTCAAGCATTGAAAACGAGTAAGCTAAGAAATGTTATTTTAGCATTGACAATGGCTAATGGAAAGGGATTGGAAACAAACTTTCCTGACTATTTCTGAGGTTGATGCTCGTTTATATGCGATATGTGAGGCTTCATGACAATGATATAATTATTTAGTTTCTTAAAACATGCTTGAACAATTTTTTTAAAGCTCGGCATAAAAGTGAAAAGGCTTGAAAATTCACTCGCTCGTTTCTTTGTGTTTATGAACACATTCATTTTGTGTGAAGAAGTAGCTCAACTAAATTTTGATAAAATGCTAATTTCATTGTAATTAATTTCTTTCTCTGTTTATATATTCTATGTTTAGGCGTACAATATTTTATAAGTGTATTGGAAATATTAAGCAAATAGCCTGTTAGGTAGTTTTTGCTTGATGTGTTACTTTCTTCTCCCATGAAATTTGGTGAATTCCTCTAATAAGAGAAACTTTTAGTTGTGATATTTTATTTGATTTTGCATAGATGATATTTTTCTTCTCATTTATCTTTGTTAGGCTTTCTTTTATCTTAGGATGAATAGATTGAGTCTCACATGATTGTTAAGATGAAAATTTTGGGTTTTTTTATGTTGTAAATATTTGCTTTTTTTAGCTTAATATGTTTAACTTTTTTAACAATACATGCTTAAATGATATTTGCACAAGTTTTGATTTGTTTTTAAATGGTATCCCTTTACCTTTACGTATCACAATTTTCAACTTTCTAATTGATTTTACTATTGTGTTTTATGGCTTTGTTTTGATATAGTAATAATATGGATAATAAACCTAAAGAGGTTGCTACCCGCATTGTGAGAAAAAGAAATGAAAATAATATTTTGTGATTTTTGCCTTAAAGAGATTGAACGGGGAAATAGACCTACGACTTATTTCAATAAAGAAGAGTGACAAAATATTATCAGAAATTTCAAAGAATGTATAGGCGGGGAGTACGACAAGTTACAAATGAAAAACAAGTAGGACCAACTGAAGAATAACTGAAAAATTTGGAAAGAATTACAAAGGGTATCTACGGGTCTCGATTGGGATCCGTTGAAGCGAACAGTTGATGCACCTGATGAATGGTGGGCTGAAATACTTGTGGTGAGCATTGTTTGCAAATTTCGTTATTTTGCAACTTTATAGTTTATTCTTAATTAGGTGTTTAAGTTTTTTGGATTTGAGTCTGAATTGGAGGAGAAACTTGACCGCATGTTTGGGGGGTGGTTGCAACAGAGAACTATGCATGTAGCCTAAGCGAGACAGGGTTCGCTGACAATGTCGTGAATTTGGGAACCCCTGGAGGTTCAGTTGTTTTCATTGACATTTCCAGCCCGGATCAGAACTAATATGAAACTGTTTCCTGATCCAAACGAACGAGGATTGTTGATAAAAAAAATCTAGTGTTTCTTCCCTCATAAATGAGTTATCTGAGACGGTTTCTTGTTTCAAGGCAGAATGTCAGGTTTCTCATTCAAGCACTATCAAGGAGACACTCAAACTCCTAAGTGCTACTGCCGAACTTTATGTGGATGAAGATTTGTATTTGTTCTTAGCAGAATTCCGGTCCGTAGAAATATATTTCTAAAGATGCATGTTGCCCGTAGAGTGGCATATATTCGAGGTTTTTATGATCAATTGAACATTTGAGATGTTTTATATTTTTCATCACTAGAACATTTTTACTACATTATTTTTTTTTTCTCTTTCTAGAGTTGTACTTGTGAACTTTGTTATACCTTCCTAATTATATGCAAACGACTCTTTTTTTATGTCTCAAACTCTCATGTAATTGATTATCATTTAGGAGTTACATTTAGGGATATTGATCACTATGAATGCAAATAGAACAAGACAGATAGAGACCCACATGGATTCACGCAGAAGAAAGCAGAGGGGGATGTTTCCGACAACAATATACTTGGTGTGCGAGTACTACAACGCGTACATTGATCGGTCGTCATGCATAACATCTTCATATATTGGCAAAAAATGAGTTAGAGAGTTGTTTGTGGGGCACCCAACAAGATTTTATAATATATTTTGAATGAGCAAGAAAGTATTTATCGATCTTCTGAAATTACTTATAGGAGCTCACGGACTTCATGGATCTTAGAGGACCACTCCACATGAGGTGTTTACAATAACACTGTTAATATTATCCCAAAATGAGTCAATGCAAGGAGCCATTGAGTGATTTCATCGCTCCTCAGAAACAATAAGCAAGTACTTCTCAATCGGATTGAGCGCACATGTTAGCATGTCTTCTCATGTCATCAGACCCACAGATTATAAGTTCGAGCAAACACCCGTTTAGATATTACATGATGCACGATATATGCCCTACTTCAAGGTATTCTCTCAGATGCAATATAATTAATTTTGTTAGAGTATGCAATGATATGTAGAACCTAACATTACCTCAACCAAGACTGAATTGACACGATTGATGGAACACATGTTGACACAAGTATCCCAATAATGATAAGGTTGCATTTATTAGCCGTTGTAGTAGCCCCACCCAAAATGTCATGGTCGTATGCAACTTCAACATGTGTCTCACTTTTGTTATGGCTAGTTAGGAGGGCAGTGCACATGACAGTCGTGTTTTTAAATCTGCAATGCGACATCCCAATACCAACTTTCCACATTCACCTGCAGGTACGCTCAGGTTTAAGCTCATTAAATGTCGAACTTGAATCACCATATTAATTGTTCAATCTATCAGCAAACACTACTTGGTCAATGTTGGTTACCCATTGCAACGAGGGTATATAAAGTCATTTTCTGATGCGAGATATCACATACTAGACTTCGCATGTGTCAGCAACGTTAAACGAGGCAGAAATCAATGTTTAATAAATGACATTCATCGTTGCATGGTGTCATTGAGAGGACATTTGGTGTGTGGAACCTACAAGTTCTCCGGCAGGTACAGATTGCGTTTGCTACAATGACTCTACATAATTACATTACAATAGTTGGTTGAAAATAAATTTACTTTTACGTGCATCTTAGAGCTTTGATAGATGTGAACTTGAATATTGTTGAAATTATTTGTGGGCTACAAATATTGAACCGTTTTGAAGCAAATGAATGATGCAATGAATATTACAAAGGGAAGAGCATGGTTAGAGAAAATAAACTGACACTTGATTGTTTCATTTGATAAAGGGGTACTTATATATATTCTACAAAATTCTTATCTTTTATTTGATGGGAAGCTTTTAAAGCTATATGTTTTAGAGTTTGATAGTTGTTATAAACTTTTTGTTCCACATTTTCTGAATTATGAAATCTATAATGTTAATAACAGTTTTAAAAAATACTTATTTTTTGCACAATGCATAATTTGATGATTTGGGGATGTTAATTTGTCAAAATTTTTAATTTGTTAAAATTTCATGCTTTAAAGATTTTTTAAAATATCAAAATGTTTTTGTAAACATTTCTTAAAATATCAAAATGTCTTATTTAAAAGAGCAAAATGTCTTTTTTTACCTCCCATACATAGTGATGTTGTTTTTTTGTGCATGGCTCGAAATGCTTCTAAGCATAAGGGGGATGACTTTAAAGACCAAAATTTTATTGCTAATATTCTTGTCTAACTCTCATGGATGGATCAAGGCTAATTTTCGGGGCGGGG